GTCTGAACTGGTCTGAATCAGTCTGAACTGGTCTGTTGTGGTCTGAACTGGTCTGTTGTGGTCTGTACTCGTATGAACCAGACAGAACTGGTCTGTACTAACCTCTTACACTGATGCTGAAAACTTTGACCTGGTATCCGAGGTCGTTGGTCACGTTGACCTGGTACAATCCAGAGTCTCTGGCTGTGACATTGACCAAAAGGAAGGTGCCGTTGAGGGAAAATATCTCAGTCCCATTGGTCAGTTTCTTCAAAGTCATGGCGGACGGAGGGAAGCTGATGGTTCGACAGCAGACGGTGACGTTCTGTCCCTCATGGACGACAGTGGACGGCAGAACGAGGACCGTGGTGTTTCTGGGAGAAGCTGAATCATCAGAGATCAGAGTCGAACAGGAAGTCATGTGATAAGATAAGACAGTGTGTTTGTGTATGTGTGTGTTGGTCAGCTGTGGTAACTCCCTGAGGTAACATGTTTTGACTCTCAGGCTACAAATAGGAGCCTGTAGACACAAGGACTGAAAACTGACCTTTAACCCTGACAGAGCGGGTCACCTGCTGTGCTCCGTACTGATTGGACGCTTCACACTGGTAGTGGGCGGAGTCTTCCAGCAAGGCAGAAGACAGGCTGAGGAATAGCGAGGATGAGGAGTCGGGATAAATGCTCTGTAGCACCGCCCCATCCCTCCTCAGCACCAGCGTGGTGGGCGGAGCTCCATCTGAGCTGCAGGTAATGTTGACCTGTTGACCCTCCACCACGTCCTCACTGGGACTTACAGAGATGGAGGTTCTCCTTGGAGCATCTGCAACACCAACAGACCAGAATTAACAGAACTTCAACCTGAATCTTGGTTTAACAAAACCTGATCTGATCCATTTTAACTGAGAAGTTATGACATAATGATCCTCCTATGCTGAGTTAAAGGTTCCATATAGTAGAACCTCCTACAGGTTCTACATTTCTACATTTTCTAAAGGTCTATGGGTTCTAAACGTTTACAGGTCTAGGGGATCTAGAGATCTACAGGACTATGGGTTCTACAGGTTTGCAGGTTCTATAGGTCTTTAAGTCCTACAGGTCTACAGGTCTTGTTTCCTCAGTCTCACAGTGGACTTGCAGACGGATGCTTGTCCTCCTGGACCGCAACAGGTCTGTGTTATCAAGCAACTCCGCTCTGCAGGTCACAACCTGCTGCTCCGCCTCCACCAGGTGCTGAATAACAGATGAGACGTTCTGTAAAGAACCGGAGAACCCAAAGGACTCTGACATCAGAGCCGTGTTCCCCAACAGCCAGTGGATCCTCAGCCGATTGGTTGAAAAGACATTAATGACATCACAGCGAAGGACGGCCTGCTGACCCAATAGGATGGGACCAGGATTCATCAGAACTGGATCAGATGGAAACGCTGCAGAGGATGAAACAGATGTTCACAAGCTAGAGATCATCAGGTCCAGTTTGAGATTCAAGAAAACCCTGAACTGGTTCCTATTCTCAGGGAACTGCGACAGGAAGTCAGTGTTTGTCAGTGAAGACTTATGAGGTCACAGCGGCATGACGAGAGATTTTCATAGGTTCAGGTGGATCCTTAAGATCGATCAAACAAACTTAATTTGTATTACTTATATTCACAAATCACAATTTCGTGTTACTGGTGGTTATCCCGAAGTGGGCGGAGCCTCACAGGTAACCCTCCTTTCTGAGCTGCTCGTGCAGGACGTCTCTGTACTCTGCCTCTGAACTCAGCTTCTGTCTGACGAGTCCACAATATATTCACCATAGTTGTTTATGACACGTTCATAATTAAAGTTGGCTCCAGATGCCCTGCAGCGCCTCCTACAGGAGGTCTGGGTTGAAACTGTAACCAGATGAACATCACGAGTTAATAACTGATCGTATAGCTAATAAATACAAGGGTTCTTTGTAGGTTTGTTTATGGACTAAAGGTGTAAACGTAAGTTTGTGTATTAACGTCAGCAGCTGATAATTCAACACTGACTCCTTCTGGTTCTGTCTCTGAGCTGTGGGAGGATTCAGTGTTTTAAAGTGTGTGTGTGTGTGTGTGTGTGTGGGAGGAAACATTCTGTCTCACTGAGAACTGAACAGAACTGAACTCTGTGACCTTTGACCTCTGACGACAGTCAAATGAAATCTCAAGTTGTTTCTCACATGTCTGAATAACACTTCACTGTTAACACACAAATATACGAC